AGGGATTGCCTAACCGTCTTGTGCCACATGAAGTCAACCAGTGTAGCTTAGGCACACGGTTAGTCCGCAAATTGCATTGTCATTAACACCAAAATACATAAGACGGGAATTGCCCTTACACCGAGCACTATCATTTTTTTAACGAAATAGACAATAGGAGAGACTCCCACCAACTCCAAAATTTTTACAGTAGGAGAGACTCCTTTTTGGTCAAATTTTGACTAAAATTTGTCAAAAATATGTATTTCCTTGTAATTTAATCTACTCCCTTTGTAAAATTTTATAAGACGTTTTAGGTCATTGTAGTATTTGGCAAAAACGATTGGAATTTTCCCAGAATTATCAGCATAGTACTGTTCACGTTTGAGAATTCTCTTACAGAAATCTGGACACTTCATTTTTTGGTCAAATTTTGACCAAAGTTTGTCCGCATGTATTCTCCTTGTAATTTTTAATACGTTTGAGAAAATAGATCGAAACTTTCCCAAAATGATCAGCATAGTAGTGTTCATTTTTTAAGATTTTTTCAAAATTTCTAGGCACTTACATTTTCGGGTTAATTTTTTGCCAAATTTTGTCCTAAATATGTATTTTCCTTATAATTTTTAATCTACTTTGCAAAAATAATTGAAACCTCCCATATTAATTAGCATATTATTGTTCATATTCAAGAATTATGTCGCCGGAAACATGGCCACCTATGGGACCTGGAGGCCCCTTGCTGGTTCGGCAGGGGGGAGTCACGTTGCACAAAGAGCAGACGAGCGTGATGCAGCACGACAGAGATCACACGGGCAGTTTTACCCAGGTTCGGGCCGCTACGATGCGTAAAACCCTACTCCTACTTTTGGTGGATTGATGGTGGAAATGTGGTGGTGGAGCATAGTACACTTGGCCGACAAGGGTTGCCTCAGGGCGGCAGCGACTACGCGCATATGGGGGTGTGAGTTATCCAACCTTCTAACCCTGTTTACGGTTGCCAAGGGCCTCCTTTTATAGATCAAGGGGTCACCACAATAGCAAAGTAGTCATTATGCATTGATGTGACAACAAACAGTGCTATCATACCTAACTCTGTGGGCTAATAGTGCGCATTTAATGCACCGCTCAACGTCACATCGTTGGTTGCCCGGCAAGGCTTGCCGGGCTATCTTGCCAGCTCCACGCCTGCTTGTTTGACACGTCGTAGGGCGGGTGTCATCTATGGGTTTTTCCTGTAGGAAGAGGCTACAATGTGGCGAATGGTTACCACTTAATCACTCCGCGGCTTGACGCCGCACTGATCGATGACGTGAGTCGTGGTGGAATGGTTGGTGAGGTGATTTAGCCTTCGCAAGTCCCGGCAGGCCCTGCCGGGATGCCTTGGTCGTCTTCTTCTGGGGGTGGCCTCGTCCCTTGCCGGGCTCGCCTGCCCGGCAAAGGAGGCCTTTCTCTCGACGATATCTTGCTTCTCTCGCTTGGTCTTGGTCCCTCTGATCTGCTTGTTGGTTCTTCAAATCTCCTGGTTTATCGTACTCTGTCTTGGGTTGGCGCTTCAATCTTGATCCTGTGCCTGTGCACAGTCAGGGCAACAGACCCAGAGTTTGTTGCACCGACACCAAATTATTTTAAAGTTTTTTGGGGACTTTATTTTTACTAATTTTTTTACCAAAATTGTCCTAAATATGTTTTCCCTTGTAATTATTAATCTGTTAGGTCAAAAATATTGAAATTTTCCTAGTATGATCGGCATAGTACTGTTTAATTTTGATAAATTTTCTGTACTTTTCATTTTTTGGGCCAATTTTGTACAAAAAAGAGGTTTGACATGGAGGATAGGCGACTCAATGGTCAACATGTCCGGTGGCGGAGCTAGACGGAATCTGCTGGGGGGGGGGGCAAAAGCTAAACAATTTCTCATGTAAGCCCTCAC